CCTACATGGACTCTCCACAAAATCCACAGACCTTACGTTGCATTGACTTAATCCTTTATCCGGGACTGACCGCCCGGCAGATCCTCTCTTCACCATTCTCCCCGACTCTCTCCCCCCTATTCTGACACAAACACCAAAGACACACACACAACACACACACACATGCACGTCAACAGTAGAATGGCGGCATGCTGAATAGCCGTGGTAGGCCATTCTCAGATAGGGCTGAAGCTCCCTACTCATCAGCTGAAATCAGGTGGTCTGCAGGCGTTCCCACCCGTACCCACCCATAGCTTTCTGTACTCACACCATGGCTGGAGGTTCTTTTCGAGTATATACTCCTTTGTATGATATTTCTACCGAGCCGATATATTATCATGTCTTTCTATTATTTGTGTGACACTTCATCTACTCTTTCGATAGTCAGCCGGCCAGAAATCAAGCGACAGGAGACAGCGATTGACGAAGCGACAATGCGCCCTCCTTTTCGACGCTCGTACGCCTCTGTAAATTTGTTTTTGCATTGGTAATGTTTGAGGAGTTTTTCTTTCGGGTGTCTCTGTATGTGTGGGCGTGTCAAGGAGGAATCAGACCCGATGATCGAATGTCTGAGTTGCGTTACATTCAACTAAATTAGTGCTTGACAATACAGATGCGGGTCTTTCGGTGCAGCTCACATCTTGAGAAAAATAATCGCTCACGCATTCGTATACCAAAAGGAAAGGATCGTCCTCACACATACCGGCCGCATAAATAGTCCAGTCGAGCCAAGGAAGGCAGCCACCCACGAACAGAATACAACCCACCCAAACCCCCCACCCTCACAAATACCGACATCTCCCCTACCCGATGTCCCCGCCCGCCTTCCATCAATGCATCACTCAGTCGCCCCTGACCCGCCCGCCAACTTGGCCCACTGTCCCTTGAGCAGGTCATGTACCAGTGGATCCATGTTGTACATTGCGCTGTGTCCACGAGAGGAGACGAGCTGATTGCCCTCTCCCCAGGGGCATAGCTGGCCCATAAGAGACTCTTTCCCCTCTCCCTTCAGAGAGCTGCTGGTGAAGGGGTTCCGGCACCAAGAAACAGGGTCGCTGGGCGCAAAGTGGGACACGAGAAAGCAGAGGTAACTGCACGAGTGAGCCATGTCGCTCTGCAGCGGCCCAAAGTCTCTGCCGACGTCTTGTTGCTTGATGACGACCCTCCCCTTCCAGTCCGTGTATTGCCACACTTCTTTGTATGCAGACAGCAGGCCGTCGAGCAGACCGCTCCTGCCACCCTCATTACCATCAGCATCATCACCACTGCTGTCGGCGGCCTTGAAAGTTGTGTCCGCGAGACCGGGGGGCGAGGTGCACGGCAGCTCCAGACTGCACGGACTCATTGTGATCTGTGGGTCAGGGGAGCGCAAAGGTGAATGTGTCTTGATGTGTCTTGATGTGTCTGGATGTGTCACGTACCGCATCATGTTCGAATTCTATGGACCTGCACACACATGGAGAGACGTTAAGACCAACGCATATGTATCTCTCTCTCTCTCTTCATGTCTTCCGACCTGGCGTTGACGAGCTGAGACAACAGAGCCACAAAATGCCGATCCCCTCCTCTTGGCGAGCCGTAGCCAACAAAGTCGACCCGAGGCGCATTGTCGATGAAGGCCGCCGCCAAGCCCAAGGACACAAAGCTGGCCACAACGCCTCCCAGACTATGGCCGGCGACGACCACCCTTTGAAGCGCGCCAGAGGCAACTCGAGGCTCAAGAAGGGAGAACAAAAAAGGATAGATGGCCTTGTAGATAGAGTAATAACCGCTTCGGACTCCCCCGTTCGCACTGGCCTTCGACTCCCCTAAGAAGGGCAGAAGGGCGTCGAGCAGGCCCGTCAAGCTCTGGAGCGATGGCTCGTCGAGTAGCTTCTTCTGCTTCACGTGGCGCTCAAGTCGGGCCGCTTCCTCGGTGGTGAAGAAGTCCACCTGGTCCGTGGCTGCGGCCAGACGATAGTCCGTCGCAGAGATACTCCCCCTGACAACGATGAGCACCTGCACGCATGGATACACCGTACACATGCCAGCGGGTCAGACATTGGAGAGGGAGGCCATACCGAACTTCCGTCGTCCTTCTCCACAATCCACAGAAAAGGCGATATCCCGTGTGGACTGGAGGGTGTTTCAGCTGACGGTGCGACCAGACACGACAAAAGAGAGTCTCTCTGTTTTTCCCCATTCGCCCCTGGCTTTTCTCGCAAGCACACGCCTGCGCACGTACCCGGCTGTTCGATGTGCAGCACATCCACAGTGCTCCAGCCGTCCATGGGCTTGTCATCCAGCTCCCACCCCTTCTCTTCACCGCAGTTGGTCACCGCATAGAGATTGCGTATCAGCCTTTGTTTCACCAGACACCACACACACAATGCGACCTCCGATCGGTAGAGATACATCCTGCTTCCCTCACCTGAAGAGGATGTAGTAGGCCAAGCCCTCTCTGGCCACGACATCATGCGGGATGATGTCAGGGATCGCGCCAGACAGGTCGTCCAAATGAATGTCTCCATCCCAGTCGGACGGCAGGGTTGGCTTGCGAGGCCCGATGACGCCCGGATGCTTCAGAATGTCCTGATACGTCAAAGATGACCACTTACACCCGACCGCTGCGGCAATGAAAACACAGGCATTGATGAAGAGCATGCTGAACGCCCCCCTTCCCTCTTGTGCGTGGCATTCCATACATTCGATGCCGCAACTAAAGGCCTGACAGATTCCTGGTACGTTAGCAGGGTTGGTGATGCGCTGCTTGGCTACACAGGAGCATATCAAATCGAACTTGCTGCAGAAAGGACGAGAGCAAGCTCATACAACATGGTCGCGACAAAGAAAATGCATCAACCTTCGGCCTGGCCCCTCTGTCTTCAGCTAATGCATGATGCTCACCGTCGCAAATCAAAGACAGCTTCTGGCTGCGTGGTCGACTCTTCGCCATGGCCGCCATCCACCCCCCCTGAGCCCTCTCCCTCCTTCCAAGGCTTGAGCAAGGCCCCCTTGGTGACACACTTGGACACCTAAACAAAGCAAGGAAATGTCAGGCCAGGGAATGAAGCCACACAGGAAGAAGTGCAGTACTGCTTCCTGTTTGCACCTCCATGGCCGGCCTGGCGATCCCTGGGGCACTGAAACAAGTTAATAACTCGCCTGTTTCTGCCGAGGCGCCGCACTGCAAAGGCGGGGACGGGAAGCTCTCCGAGCTCTCCAGAACGACCTTGGTTAGTGCGAGGAGGCCTGCAGGCAGCCACAGAGAGGAGAAGCTTTTGTTCGTTGACTTTCCCTTTTCCTCTCTTGTTTTCCTTACCAGCTGGAAGCTGCGCCAGCAACAGGCACGCAAAGGAAAGCACGAGGCCTGCCATAGATTCCATTTCGGAGGGCCCGTACAGTGCGCGTAAACTTCTGAGAAAAGGCCCCCATCAGCCCCCACCCCGCCCGAAAGACTCGATATGGTGTTCCGGGATTTCTTCGGTCGGATAGAGGACGCGTTCGATCGCCTTGTCAGGTTCTACTGTCGCGGGCTGCAGCGCTACCCATGGCCGCTGTTCATCTCGTGAGTGGCAGGCATCCAATGAAAGACTCACACTCTCAGACTGATCCGCTTACTTTCTGGATGGGTGCAGAGCATGTTGCATCCGTGTCCTTTTCAGGTAAAAGAATCACCCCTGCCTGCCTACCTACCGGTTGTGTCTGTGTGTACATCTGTCCCTTCCGGCATGCAGTGGGCTCGGGGCTGTTCGGATGGGACTGTCAGGTGAGTGGAAGAGGTCGAGCTGCGTTCGGACAGGCATGCTGGCGGTGTTGAATCACCACACAGTGTGTGGATGTCTTGTGTATGGATATATATGGACAGACTCAACTCAATACGATTGGATTATTGCGTCGTCCCAGGTATGGCAGTAAGCAAGAGAGCACATCGACACAATGACTTCCGATTACGTTCCAGGCCAGCAAGAACCTTGACGCGTTGGTGGATGCCCAAAAGCGAGTGGATCAACCGGCGGGAGGCTCGGGGGATGACGCAGATCCAGGTCAAGCAGTGAGGGGTAATCTAGTCACCAGATGGTATCGGTGTGCCTGTCTTCCTTGCAGAGCGTTCTGAGACAGCGCACACAGTCACATTTGTCTACAGTCACAGAAATAGTAAGACGAAGACCACCATTTTCACGCCTGAGGTCAGCCAGAAGATGAGCTGACGCATTGGCGGCCCCGGTCAGTTTCCTTGGCTTATGCGGGGGGGTCCATTTCAGCTGCTCCAACAAATGTGCGAGGTGGAGAGAGTCTTTACGACACACAAAGACTGGCCGGACAACTGCGTGCTTGACCAGGACGACAAAACCCAATGCGCATTCCCAAGTGACCGCAGGCGGGAAGGATAGGAGGAAGGGAGATATGCATGGGCGGGCGCACGTCTGTGCTGTCTCGTCAGGTCGTTCGGTGGTGGGACTCTTCTACGGCACTGACGCAGTGGACTATGATAACTGTCCTCGACTGGACTATTCGGTCGTCAGTGCACGCGAGAGATTCCTGTATGACAACCTCACCACCAGCGAAGGCCTGCTTTCAATGGGTTTCTTCGTCGATAACGTATGGGCCGCCATACATTATCATAGTGGGCGGGCGCTGAGATGGTGTGGGTGCTTTGGCTGTGTGATGACATCAGGGAGTCAAAATAGGGACGACAGACACGACAGGTGCTGCTCGGAATACGAGGTCGTCCTTGTCCACTGGGTAAGACTTCTAAGTGGGCTCCGACTTAACCGAACATCGCACGATTGTGGGTCTTGGCAGGGGCCCGCTCGAAGGATACGACAGTCTTGACGACGATCAACCAAGTCAATGGACCGAGGTAGGGATGCTGCTTTGACAACCTGGCGTCAGTGTGCGTTTTGGTCTGCATGTGCCTGCCTTCTCCTGCATGTCCGCCGATCCGTTGCAGCACGTCAAATTCATCAGCAAGGTGGAGCTGGATCTGCTGAAGCTCTTCGGCAAAAAGCCGCAGGGTGAGTACTGAATCAACATACATGGACATACAGAAGATACACACACACACACACACGTCCCGTCCTTTCTTGTCTGCCACCTTTGCCCCAAGGGCCGTTTGAGCGCTCAGGTCCGACACGACAGAAATCCTCTGACATGACAACTCCTCCCTTTATTCGTTGTCTGTCTCGTCCCACCCACACGCGCCTTATCTTCACACACGACCTCCTGACTCTCCGCCACTTACCCGCTCCCACTGCCATCCTCAATCTCCACGCACCTCAAACGGCCTACAGTGTATCGAGACCCGTTGATCTACAAGGACCTGAGAGTCAGATGGTACAGACAATCGGACAGCCTGGGACAGGGATGGCTTGTCAATTATACACAGAGCCTCAACGCATTTGTTCGCTATGCTTTGAATCAGGTTTGGGTCCATTGGAGAGGCACGTCAATCAAAGTACACGCGGACATAAGAACTAAACGACCAGCCAGACAGAAAATGAACGGCCTGTCTGTCTGTCTGTTTGTCAGGTGGAGTTCACTCGTCAATTGTGAGCTTTTCTCAGCGTTTTCACCAGTGTTTATCAGCCCCTGTCTGTCTGTCTGTCTGTTGGTTTTGCTGCATTCGTCTGTGTCCACCGATTCATGCATGGCTGTTTTCAGCATGAACGACATCTTCGGAGCAGTGCTGTCAATCATCTTCGCGGGCATCTGCATAGTACGTTCTCTTCCACAACATTGGACATGCACACGACCATGCACGTGTCCTTTTCATCTTTGTGCTCAGTTCGCATACACGAGGAGCGGCTTCCTCACATGCGTCGGCATGATGTATATGGATATTTGATGCTACGGCTGCCTGCGTCGGCCGTGTCTGACTATGCGTCTCAAGCAATGCAGTCCTGACCGTTTGTCTGTCTGTGCCGCGCAGATCCGCTGCTCTCTACCGTCGGCGTTCTTCTTCTACTACTGTCGGTGCCTGACCAATCCGCTGGAGCATATCTGTGCAAGCAATCCTGATTTTTGCTTCGTCTCCTGACTGTGCAGATGTGTTCAACATGTTCGGCGAGCACACGAATATATATAAATGGACATGATTTCGTGTTCTGTTTTCTCGAAACGTCATTCACGGCCGTCCACGATGTGCCTCTTGCTTATCTGTCGCAGCACCTACTTCAACACAGTCGTGACTGTCACGATCTTCGTTGTGTTGGGCGTCGGAGCAGGTACTTGAGGCGTTTGTCCACGTCATCTGCATCCCTGTCTTGTGTGCTGCATGCAGATAATATCTTCGTTCTCGTGGACGCCTGGCGGGCCTTCCATGCCATTGTCGATATCGAGGTGTAGCAAATCGAAGCACACACTCTATCTTTTTAGCGTGTGCATCTGTGTGCTCTTCAGGATCGCGTCTTCTTCACCGGTTCGAAACCACACTTTTGGAAAAGATATTCAACTAAGGAGAACACTGGATTGTGTCCGTGTGCATTGATCACTGCCAGTCGATCGGACAATCAAGGCTGTCTTCAACACGGTGAGACCACTGACGTTCGCATAGAATCTTTTCTCATCCAGACATATCAAAACAGGCCTTCACGACTTCTGTGGCGTTCTTTGCAACGGGTGTCTCCGCGATCATGGTGGGGACAATGAGATAAGTCGCACACATCTGCAATGCGCCTGTGGTCTGATCAGCCCATCAGATCTTTCGGCATCTACGCCGGTTTGTGTATAATAATGAATTATCTGGCGGTGAGAGCCCGAACAATCGCCTTGTTGGCAGACAAAACGCTGATTTCTCGCGTCTCTGCTGGCAGCTGATCTTCGTGACACCGCCTGCTCTGGTGTTGTGGCAGCAGTGTTGCGAGTTCATGCCTTGACATACATATCACCGTGCGACGGATCTCACCCTTCGTGTGTGTGCTTTTGTAAGGCGCGCCATTTCTGCTGCTTCGGCACCACCAAGAAGCTCGAGGCCACCAGACGCAGACGCGAAGCCTCCATTGCCCCTCCGGGTACGAATGGAGTGATTGACATCGCCCCCCAGACAACGCAAGACGTCAACAACGCTGATGGCAAGCCGACTGCCGGCAATGAGGAGACGGGAATCGACCACGACGTGGAGCAGGGGAAGGGCACCGACAATCCTGGAGTTACGGTCAAGGCTGTCGCGACCAATGCTGTCGCATACACGGAAGAAGACAATGACACGGATAAGGACATTGTCAAGGACAATGGCAAGGCCAACGACCTGGGTGGTGATGAGCAGGACCGAGTTGAAGTGTTCGAGTATGACGTCCACAATGCACCCGACTTGGATGACGCTGAGGTGCGTGCCATCAACTGTGGGGCATGCCAGCAACCACACAACCATTGGTGTCGCTGCATTTGGTGTGCAGAAGCGTATAATGCTAGGGTGGGGCTACGTGCTGATGTCCAAGTACTACATTCCTCTCATGAAGATAGAATGGGAAGGCATCAAGTAGGAACGGCAACATGACTGCTCCCAAAAGCCTCGCCTCCACTAAGAAAGGCATTCCACTGTCGCTTCTTCATCGCAGAGTGGTGGCTTTGGCGTGCATTCTCATTCTGCTCGCCCAGCTGGGTCAGAGCCTGTACCATGCAACTCTCCTGTCGCCCCCAACCAAGCAGGTAAGACGCCGTGACCCACTGCATTTGCCCTGCTGTCCGGCCATGTGCACCGGCCTCTTTTCAGGAAGAATGGCTGCCTGACGATCACATGTGAGAGACAAAGCACACAAACGACCTGCCGGAAGGGCGCAACGGAAGGCTTTTATGTGTTCATGCTTGTGTGTGTAGGTACCAAGGTGTGTGAGTGAGACAGACAGGCTGACCCAGATATGGATAAGTCGGCGCTGGGAGACTCCAGCGTATGTGTCTGCCGGTGCATGGACGAGTGTGTGTGTTGAATGACTTCAGTGGTGCACGACTTCCTTCGAGACAAGTTCTCCACCAGCGATGAAGATGACTTGGTCAAGGTGGGCAGGACCGAGACACATCAGATGTCTCCCTTGCAGGACCTGCACTTTATCTTCCTTGTAGATCACGATGACGTGGGGCATCAAAGTGGGTAGACCTCGCTGTGACCGCAACGCTCCTTCTCTCTGTGTCTCAATTTGGGGCCTGTCCCCCTCTGATGTCTCCCTTTTGCCATACGCTACCAGGGCATTGACAGGTCGGGGTATCGCTTCTTCAAGCCAGGTATGTGTACACCTTCTCTCGTTTAGACGTACACGTTTGTGTTTTCATCGTGCTGCAGGCGAAAACCGGGGCAAGGTGAGATGGGTGTACGGGCAACTTGTGGAGTGATACATTGCCCTCTCGGTGAATTGTATGTGGAAGGCTATCTTCGACTCGGGCTTCTCGATCGAGACCAGCGAGATGCAGGTGTCTGGGGGGAGCGAGGGAGGCACGCCTCTTATCACGAGTGTCTCTCTGCTCCTCTCTGCGTATGTGTATTTTGTTCAGGAGTTGGTGGCGTGGACGTGTGAGCAAATCCCAAAGGAGATATGCACAGCGGAAGGATGCGACCACCCTCAAGGTACGCCATCTATTAGAGTGACAGGTTGGCCCAGGTCGATCGTCCCTTGCTGTGATCCACTTTTCTGCTGCCCGTCCACGCAGATCGGCTGGCCTATAATGGAACGATCAAGTGCCCAATGATCCTAATACAGGAGGAGTACGTCTATCAGCCCGGCATCCACGGGGGGTCGAGAGCATTTGGATATGCCGTGTTGTCTGTTCTTCCGTATGTCCCATGGCACCAGGAACGGAGGCATGTTACCGAACGCAAGTGCCACGCTCGACCGGCTCAACGAGTTGCAGCAGAGCGATCCCGACTTTAACGTGAGCCGAACAGATCGTCTGGGTTTTCATTTGGGCTTTCCTTGTTTGTCTGTGTGTGAAGGAGCTGATTGGCAGAGTGGATGGCAAGATCCGATTCATGTCCGTAGAATTCGATTCATCGCTCAAGAGAGCCTCGGTCCTCTCGGTCAAGGAGCCAGTTCGTGACCGAATCGATGAGTTCATTGACAAGTAAACGACCTACGAGGCACAGGCAGACGCGCAATGCGTGTGTATGTGTGTAAAACACTATACAGGGTGGTGCGTCAGGGCCGCAACGATGGCGCTACCCAGGGCCGTTTGCAGCAGACGGCTGGCGGAGAGTGGGCAGGATGGCAACGGAGCGTGGTGAGATATCCAATCTACATCCATCCACACATCGGTCATTCAAGCTTGTCTGGATGTTCGTGTTGGGGTGGGGCGGTGCTAACGAAATGGGGACTGATCCATCAGGGCTTGTGGAAGGCATGTTCACAGGTGTGGAAACGATCCATCCATCCATCAATGGGAGCAATTGCTTTTGTCCGTGTGCGTGCGTGTGTGCGTGCGCTTCTCCATGCGTATGAGTATAGGCTTCCTCATCTGCTTCCCGGTGGCCTTTGTGGTTCTCCTGCTCGCCACCACCAACCTCTATCTCACCACATACGCCACCTTCTCGATCGCATGTATCGTTTGCAGGTACGTACGTGCACACTGCGGTCTTACAGTCAGCTCACGGATAATCGGCAGCCTGGCTGTGTTCACCTTTGATGGATACGTGCAGCATGTTGGGCTTTATCAAGTCAGCCATGGATGGGACCTTGGTGTGGGAGAAACGATCTGCGTGGTGCTCGTCATTGGCTTCTCGGTGGACTATGTGGTAGGCCACATGGCTGTCTCGACATCGCATCCGCTATGAGCACTGCCCCTGTTGTCTCGCTTTGCTGAAATTGCCACACGTGTAGGTGCATCTGGGGCACATGTACCAAGACTCGAACAACCACGGCTGCAAGACGAGGGAGGAGCGCTTCCAGTTCGCAGCAGAGTACATGGGCATGACCGTCATAGGAGGTGAGATGCCTTCGGAAAGCCAGACGCCCCGATAGCAATAGTGAAATAACATTACATGGCTGTTCTGTCTGTTGGCTGTGTGGCGTTTGCAGGTGCTATAACGACTGCAGGCAGTGGGCTCATCATGTTCACCTGCCAAATGCAGGTAAAATCGAGCTTTAAAGTGCTTCCAGAACCAGTCGTGTTCCCTCTTCTGTTCCCTCTTCGTGTTCCCTCTTCGTGTTTCGAGACATTTACAAAAATGGTGCGGGAATGACTATGGAAATACTAGCATCATACGAAGTTCTGTTCAATTCTGTTAGGCAATTCTGAGTGCGTGAGGAAAGAGACAGCGACGACGGAACACAAAAAGAAACGTTTTTCCGCTTGTATGCAATGGTGTGTCTCATGCAGTCTCCGTCACCATCCTCTTCTCTCTCCTCTACTGTGAGCGGGAGAGGCAGCCGCAGGAACGACCTTCTCTGATTGCATTGTCATCTATGTATCGCCCTCAGCATTCTTCTTCTTCATGGGCCTGCTGATCATCATCGGCCCTGAAAACGAGACGGTAACTCAAACGCTGAACCATCGACGAATGCATATGTGTCGTCCACGGCTTGACTGTGGCATCGTTGCGTAGGGCAACCTAGGAGCAATGTGGGAGTCGTGCAAACGCGCATGCACAAAACGCAAGGCAAAGACAGACGATGCAACGGGAAAGGCGGAGGATGAAACGGGGTTGGATTGAAATAAGGAATGTCCGGGTCGAAGATTCAATGAAGGATAGAGAGACACCCGCGTGGACGATGTCAGTCTTTGTTTCTTCCGTTCTTTCACCGTTTGGACTCGTAAGTCGATTTGCTATGTGGTTTTATGGACTCGATTGTGCTGTCTGCCTTTAAAGGCATCATCACTGAGTCTTCCCATGTATACCTCGTATACGTGTTGTACAAGCGCTAGCGACACTTTGCACTTGTGCAATTAGCACATGCGGAAGACACGCATGAATCACTCAGATTGACTGACCTGCCTAGGCCAACCCCCCCCTACCATCCTAATATCCATCCTAATATGACAGCTACGTCTCGTGCGAATCCATGTAAGTGCTCTTCGGCGACGGCCGTACATATTCGCACCAGGTGGCAATCACTTCAATCCGCAGATTCCTACGGTAACCTCAATTGCTCAACCTCGTATCAATTTGTTAAGTATCGTGTAATGTCGCTTTCGAAGGCGAGGCCCGAAGGGCCGGGCCAAGCATAGCCGATCAAGGCCCTGCGAGCGTGCCGCCTCATCGCTCTCGACAAATGCCCTGGCGTCCGCCCCATTGGCGTCGGGGAGGTGCTCTCTCGCCTGGCTGGCAAGTGCATGGCCATGGTGACCCGCTCTGACCTGGAGACGACCTGCGGCACTGATCAGCTGTGCATCGGTGTGAAGGGGGGCCTCGAGGGGGCTGTGCACGCGGTGAATGACCTCTTCCAAGAGGACGAGACCGAGGGGCTCCTGCTGGTGGACGCGAGCAACGCCTTCAATCGCATCAGTCGGCCTGCTGCCATCTGGAACACCCGCGTGCTGTGGCCCCGCTGCTCTCGCTATGTGTTCAACACCTACCGAGGGTTCGCCGCACTTCACCTGCAAGGCTCAGCCGGCTGTCTGTGGAGCTGTGAAGGCGTCACACAGGGCGATTCGATGGCGATGTTCGTCTACGCCTGCGGCAGCCTTCCCCTCATCCATGCCCTGCGGGCTGCCTGCGCTGAGGAGGGATATGAGATGCCGTCGAGTGGGGCATGGGATGAGTCAGGCAGCGATGGGTCTGGGTCAGACATGGACGAGAACAAAAACGCGCCATCAGAAGCGCAAGAGAGGCCAGAAGAAGCCAGTGACATGCCACCAGAAGCAGAAGGGGATGGTGCGGGTGTATGTGTGTGTTCTGATGTAGAAGGTGTTAGAGTGGGTGAGCAGGAGAGTTTGTCGACCTCGTCGGCCCCGTCGGCCTCTTCATCTAGCGCTTCGCTGCGGCAGTGCTGGTATGCGGATGACTCGTCGGCGCTCGGCAAACTTCACGGCATCCTCGTGTGGTTTCGAGCCCTGCGTCGCATCGGTCCCTCATACGGCTATCACCCAGAGACCGCCAAGTCCTTCCTCGTCGTCAAACCCGAGCTCGAGCAGATCGCAAGGGAACTCTTCGAGCCCGAGGGGGTGCAGATCGTCACGGGCAAGAGGTTCCTGGGCGGCTACGTGGGCGATGAGGGGGGAAGGGCGGCGTTCCTCTGCGAGAAGGTCGAGGGGTGGGTGCGCGGCGTGCGCGCGCTCACGTCTGCTGCCCGCAACTTCCCACACACGGCCCACGCGGCAATGATGAGGTCTCTGCAGATGGAATGGGACTACGTCTTTCGTGTCGTGCTCACCGACGAGTGCGCTCTCAGCCCCCTCCGCGAGGCCATCGCCAAGGAGCTGCTGCCGGCCCTCCTCGGCGGCCCTGTGACGCCGTCCGAGGTCGACCTGATGCTGCTGCCTGCCCGGCATGACGGCACCGGCATACGTGACCCTCTCGACCGTGCCGCAGCCGCCTACCCCGCTTCCCGCGCGAGCACCAAGGTGGTCTCCAAGTCCGTCCAAGGCAAGGCTCCGTTCCACCCTGGCGACCATCGTGCCACCATCCGCCACGCCCTCACCCGGAGCAAGCAGCAGCAGGACGTCGC